CAGATACAGCAATTGCTGCATTATTAACCCAACTACCTAAATTTTCTTATAGAATAGGTAGAAAATTCCACTATAAAGAGAACCTCTGCAGAGAGTGGGATGCAGAAAGGTTTCAAACTAATTCATACATTTTGTAAAACCATGACTGCGAGGTGCATGTGTCAGGGGCTTGAGCCAGCACTTGAGCTCTAGTTGTAGAGCTTGTGGAAAGTATCTGGTTTCCCTGAACATGCTCACCTGTGTCATACCTGATTCAGACATCTGTTCCACCAAACTTTGGGGCTGCTCCTGCCTCTGTTTTATTCAGGGTGGGAAATGAGCTATTTTATATAAATAGCAATCTTACTACTACTGACTCTGCAAGATTAAAATTGCTCCCTCTTCTGAGGTGCTGGCTGTAGTCCCTGGCAGCTTGCAGTGCTCTGCTGTTTCACATAAGTGCATTAAAATCTCATCTTTGTCTACTTTTTACTGAAGAGTGGCATTTCCAGTTCTGGAGTGTGAGGAAAGGAAAGGAAAGAAATTGCTGTATTCATGGTAATTTCTCAGCAGAAGAGTGAAGGGTTCTGCTTGGAAATGCAGGCAAGGTCCTCATGAGAGCTGTCCTTTGAGAACAATCCACAGAAAAATTAATCTGCTCTGGTCTGAATATTAATATGATTGGTTTTAGTAAACAAAGTAGGCTTTCATCTGCAGTGAGTTCTCAACTAAAATGCTCTTGCTAGTGCTTATACAAGCGATATTTGGAACCTCACAGTTGCTTCAGTGCTGGGACAGACACTTCCCTTCCCTGGAATTGCTTCACCATGTCTCATTTACTCAGGTTTACTGGGTTGATACCTTGGAGTGGCTTCCTAGAACAGAGGCCAGAGAAGATTAAGAAAATAAAGTGGGTATTTATTAAAGGTCTTCAAACAGGTTCACCCTGGGCAGTCAGAAACCTCTCAGAGGCTACATCCAAGGTGGACAATGGGCACCAGTTTTACAGACAATTCTAAGTTTAGTCCACTTACATATCAGGGGTTAATCCTCCAATTACAGCTTCAGCTAATGAAGTCATTTACCCCCAGTTTGCTCCCCCAACTCACTTTTGTTTTTGCTTTTGATGCCTGAGCTGTAGGGTGTCCTTAAGCTTCAGGCCTAGAGGGGTTGTTTTGTCTGACCAAAATGTGAAGACAGTTAACAGTTTTAGATAGTTTTAGAATTATACACTTGAAATATACAAAAGCTAAAATCCCAAGGCATCAGGAATATGACCACAACCAAGATCTCTCCTCTCTCCTTCCTGCCCACAGTGTCTGTAACAGAGACAATCTACCACAGCTCTGAACTTCTCCCTTTCCCCCCTGTGCCACTAAAATATGGTGCAGTGTGCTGCAACATCTGTGGGTGTTTCTGTGCATGCAGGAGTATATTGATACCTCTGCAAAACACAAGATTGGGTCACTTCTGAAGCATTTGGTAATAATTCTGATGAAGGGAGGAGACTGCTTTGTTAATGGCACAGGAATTTCCTTAACTTAAAATGGCTTTTTGGGAGTCTTCATTAACTGTAAAACCAGGGAGCAGGCTGGCATATGGGTTCATTAGTGTTCTGCTTATTTGTACTGGTGAAGATTTTGGCCTCTTTTGCACCATGTATTGACAAATCCAGCATTTTCAAGAGTTACCCCCACTTCCTCCACAAATTATTACTGTATTCTTGGGAGCTTTGTGTTTTTAGAAAACTGTTATCCTGTCCAACAACAAAAGAATTTCAGGATGCACAGTACATGCCACTCAAGTCAATGCAGTTATTTCCATGCCTACAATTTAGCACACAGACAGAGATGAAATAATGGAAATATTTCTGGATTTTGTTTTTGTGGTGAGGACAAAGAAAGCACCAAAAAATTATTTTTCTGCTAAACTGAAATATACCCATCCCCATGTTTTGCATGCATGGGTTGAATGTGAGGTTTTCTATTGCAATTACATAAGGAAAACACATCTTAGCCTGACTGAGCATAAGTGCATAGCTTTATCAGCAATTAGTTCCACTGGTAGGTTATCTGAACAGCTGTCAGAGGTATCGATCAGCACAAAACCTGGTTTGGAACAGTGACATCTGAAACAATTGGTTTTAAAACAGTCAGAAATACAGCTATTGATTGCACTCAAGAGAATTCTTCTGGTCTTTATGTGTACAGTTTTGCTTTAACTCAGCAGGATGCTGTGGTGTGAACTTTGGGAATAATCTTTCAAGAAAGTTTTGGGGAAAAAAATAATGTTGGGTTGATGGAATATCTTTCAGAAAAGTTATGGAGGAGTTTAGGAAGTCAGGGCTCTTTTCCTGATTATTTCTCAGCCATCTGAATCTGAAATTGAAAGTATTGCCTAAATTTAATGAGGAAGATGTAAAAAGGGCCAGAATAAGTCTGGAAAGGCCGTACACACATCATATTCCTGGGAACGGGGACTTTTTTGGGACTGAGAGATGGCTAAGTCACATCTACAAACTGAGGCACACAGAAATTGCAAGTGGTTTGTGATGCTGAGCAGCTGATTGAGAAATCATGACTAGGATTTGTTCCAGATCAAGGCAAACAGTCCTATGCTGGTAGGAGGGATCTTTTCCTGGATGTGTTTTCTTCAGGCCTCTCATCACCCTGCACATGCAGGTTCAGAACAATCCACATGCCATCCCATGGCATTATACTGAACTTGCACATCAGGAGAAATTTCTGGTAGTGAAATGGCGACCTCATTATTTTCCAGGGTAGTTAAATAACAACTGTGTCTCCCTTTTCCCCTTTGTCAGCCAGTCATTGCAAAAGCACATAAAGTACTGGAAAGACTCAAGTTCCAGACAATCAATTAATGTACTCAGAATCATGGAAGGTCTGATGTGCACAACACAATTGCATCTCCATCTGCTGCGCTCGGCAGCGGTTTGAAAGATGGCAATGTAAGTGAAATGCTGATGTTGCTTATGCTGCTGTGAATTGAAGGGAAACACTTTCTAAATTGATCCTTCCTGTCTAGATAACTAAAGTGAGCTTGAAACATAGATTGAAATTTAGTATTTCCTTTTAAAATATCTATCTAAGAACAATTCTGTTTCTTTACTTTTCCTCCCCCACTTTGGAATAATGCTCAGTCTGGCTGGCCCTGTCTGCCTGCATCAGGGGGAGACTGTGCACCATGGACCATACTGGGGCTTGGGATTCTGAGTTTCCTGCAAGTGCTGCAAGGTGATGTAACTGAGCCTGCTTTAGATCAGGAAGGGTTAAAATCTCTTCCAGCCCTAACGTCATATATTCTGTGTGTAAAAAAGCATGGGCTGTTCTTGAATTGCCAGCCCTTGCCCTAGTATTCTAGGCTGTTTCTAATTTTAACACTGTTAATTGTTGTTCTTTATGATCATATCAAAGGCCTCTGAAAATGTCAGCCCAGGCTGATATCACTGTGTCCTCAGTACCTGCACAGAGTGGAACAGCTTACAGCTTTTTGTGAACTTGTCCGTTCCTTTTGCATCGCTGTGTCTCTTTTGGGAAAGTGAGAAGTGAGATGTGACAGGGTAAAGTGGCTCTTCCCAACATCACACAAACTGCCTGTGACAGAGCTGGGAAAACTGACCCAGAGCATCCTAATCCCAGGCCAGGGCTCCTAACCCACCTTCTTCTGTTAAAGCACAGGCAGGGAAAAGCCAGATTCCCCATCGTCAATCACCAGCTTTCATTCACCTCCTGCGCTCTGCCAGCAGCCCCTGCCAGGCTGCTCGAGGCCTGCCTGCACCTACCAGCGCCACGGGGCTGCTCCTGTTTGGGGCTGCTCCTGTTTATTAGGGGGCTGTTCCTATTTGGGGGCTGCTCCTGTGTATTTGGGGGCTGCTCCTATTTTTGGGGGGCTGCTCCTGTTTAGGAGCTGCTCCTCTTTGGGGGCTGCTCTTGTTTTTTAGGGAGCTGCTTTTATTTGGGGGCTGCTCCTCCTTTTTGGGGGGCTGCTCCTGTTTATTAGGGGCATGCTCCTGTTTTATTTGGGGCTGCTCCTGTTTTATTTGGGGCTGCTCCTGTTTTTTGGGGGGCTGCTCCTGTTTGTTTGGGGGGCTGCTCCTGTTTTTTTGGGGGCTCCTCCTGTCTTTTGGGGGACTGGTCCTGTTTTTTGGGGGGCTCCTCCTGT